TTCTCGAACTAAAACTTTTCCGCTTCAAATCTTAATATCGTTTTGATTAGGTATTGTTCAAACTTTGAACGAGTCCTTCTTAACTTCAGATCTTTTTCAAAAACACATTTACTTATTATAAACTGCCAGCCTAAGAATGTTCAACGAGATATCCAGTTCATAATGATTATCGAATAAATCGGCTCAAATGACGCGAATCAGTAACAGGAAAGCAGATAAGTTGTATTACACCAATATACATAGACATAGGTACAGCAACAGTCCAACGTTCGCGGGAAAACCTTCACCACCCGCAAAGACTTGAGAGTTTCGAGCTTACATCGCACACCCACCACACATGACGGTCTGAACAACACTGAGGCCCAGAGTCAAGACTCAAGACTCAAGAGTCAACCAATGGGGCAAATACAGGCGATGACGATGAGCGATGACATCAGCGATCAGTTGATAAGTGATGTACTTGGGGTTCGGGGTAAAGGAATAGAAGATAACTTAGATAAGTGAGAGACCTCTTTTCAAAGATACCTAATCAATCTCATGACTGATTTCAAATCGAAAAAATAAAGTGATTTGAGGAGCACACAGAGTAAACGTGAAACAATCGGTGTGAAAATCGGCTTTAGGTGTAGCCCAAGGTGGCAAGTCAGATGATCTTATGACTATCTGCGTCATAAGATTATGACTATCACTTATCGCAAACGTTTATAATCTCATGTAAATCCCAGAATTATTGTAACGGCAACGTCGGTCAAATCGAACATTGTGCAAACATCGTCTCGTATCCTGATTAGGTTAAATCGTCGCGTGGTTTCTTGCTCATGTTCTCACTTAGAAATGTTTGCGATAATATCCATATATTCTGATGTTTACATCCATCTATTCGGGTATATTATATCCATCAATTCTATCCACACATGCGATGGCTCATTAGCAGAGCTGAAGCATCATGGCGGAAATGGTTCGATAGATGCCAGGAAGGAAACTAATATTGCTAATAAATCTAATCCACGTGAAGTGATAAAAATTATACTTGAACGACTCCTTCATGTTGTTGTTGTTGTAGCAACATCAACCATCAGCCCGCTCCGAGGCCGACGAAGCGCAGCCAATCGATGGCGCGCTCCACCGGCCAAAAAACGAAAACGCGGTGGCTGAAGTTGAGGTGACGATCCTTGGTCGAAACGCAGTAACGCTTCGAGTGGCTCCGGGACGTAGACCCGATCGTCGTGAGAGCCAACGACTCCTTCATGAAAGTATTAAGCGGCCAGTTCTTGGATTATGACTAGAGGTTTTTTTTTTAATAATAAATCTTTATAATTATGTTTAGTCTGTCAACAAAATTGTTGAGATGGCTGAAAGATATTTACTACAAGTTATTCTGGAAGTTCATACCATAATTCCAAATACCTCCATCTAAAAATGTTTACTAGGCGAATAAAAAAGAAAAATTGTATAAATGCCATAATCTTTACTATGATCACATCATCACATCTGTCAACAAAATTGTTGAGAAGGCTGCAAGCTATTTACTACAATTTCTTCTGGAAGTTCATACCATAATTTCAAGTACCTCCATTTAAAAATGTTTACTAGGCGAATAAAAAAGGAAAATTGTAAAATGCTATAATCTTTACTATGATCACAGCAGCAACAGCTCGCCCCACAAGCGAGACGCGCGGCTCAGCAACCCGAGCTCGGCTTCTCGCGTATCACGACAATCCCTAGCTGTCGCCGACACGTTGAATTATTTGGCGGTAATTTGCGGGGCCATGCTTTCAAAACTCGCTAAGTGAACGTAAGTACTTACGCTCTATTTTCTTGCCTATGATTAGTGGATTTTGCTTGAAAGGCCGTCAATGATTGGCTGATGAACTTACGATCTCTTAACTTTTTTGAAGGTATAGGCCCTGCGTAGGATGTGGTACGAAGATTGAAAGACATATTTCAACCAGTGGTGTCTAGAGAAAATGTTCTAAAAACTCAATTTACACGTATATGTCATTTATAATTGTTTATATTATGAAAAGCATGTTCAAAAATACGTTTCTATTTATATAGATATGCATACGCATTAATTAGTCACTCAGATGTTTGATTTTATAGTGTATCTTTTATGACAGCCTATAGTTGAGCTACTCATTCTGACCGAGGAATGTTTTCATCATGTCTTCTTCCTATATCAGAATTCACAGGGACAATCTGACTTAGACTATCTAACTCCGAACAAGGCTTCAATTTGTTGGTCATTTATGAACAGCATAATCCACCCTTAATTGGACCACCAATGAACTGCCCCTGCTTGTAGCAGGCGCTTCAAGCATTGCTGTCGCGTGTGGTGCATCCCACAGAGAAGACTAAAATTAATGATCCCTAATTGCATCGGGACGAGTAGAATACGTTCAAATTATGTCGGTACAATTTGATAAGACAAATCCTTACGGACCAGGTAATAAGTCCAGCAGCTATTTCAATCAATCGTCAGCTATGGCAAGATCGGGTTCCAAAGGCCGGATCCCTTGTGAATCAAGTCACGAAAAATTCAAGAATCGGCAACAGGCCATGGGCCTATTTCTTCAACGCCGACACTTCTATTCTATTCTATATCAGTACAACCTAAGACGAAGCTAATTACTTCAGGATGAATTTGTAGTCACATCAAAGGCTAATTAGTTGAGAACTAATCAAATGAAACATCAAAGGTTAATTAGTTGAGAACTAATCAGATAAGACATCCAAGGCTATTTAGTTGAGAACTTATTAGATGATTCTTCGAATGCAAGTTACGGGAGAACTAATTAGATGAGTCGTCAGAAGCAGATCAAGTTAGGCTGCAATTTTTAAAGAGGTGCAATTCTGGTGCAGTAGAAAGTAAATCAAGAAGAGCGAGTGAAAAAACCTATAAGTGAATTGAAGCTGGACTAAAAATTACTGCACGAGAGATCCATATTAAAATAAAAACAAAATATCAATAATCCGTAAAATTAATATGAGCAAACAAACTTTTTACTTTAAACTATGTCAAACGGGTGTCTTATTTCTAGCATTTGGAAAAAAATTCGAAACGGTATCTATTTAGCATATACTAGGTTGGGCTTAGATTAACTGATATGTCCATTCCTGAGTGTTTCTGATGCTAAAAAAGTCAAATAAACTAGGACGTTGGTCGCTACTGGTCCCATGTTCAGTCGATACGATACCTGCCGAGTCTCATGTCAGGAAATGGCTTGAGTCACTTGTTTAAAACGGAGATTTAGACTTTCACTCAAGTTCATGACTGAAGATTGATGGAAACCCCATGACGTGAAGCGTCAGGAAACCCCATGAAATGAATGACGTTCCGGACCAATATTTTATGAATTAATTTTCTTGTTTGTTAAAGCTTGATACAAGCTCATACTTGAACGCCTGTCTCCGGCAAGTGATGTTGGCTCAATTTTGAACGATGCTCGCATTATTGGGAGTAGCTTTCCTCCCACAATTTCTATTCAAGGGAATTTATTGTAGTAATAGTTTTGTAGTTTAGTCAGAGGGCAATAAAAAATCAACAGAGGGCCAACTGTCAAAATCCCCACCGGAAGTGCGTGATAATGTATTGGGTGCGCCAAATCCTTCTTGTATTCTGAACAACTTTAGTTTCACGGCACGTCTCCAATGCTGCCGCTCTAGGGGATATGACAAAGAACTTCATGGCCTAAACGAAGATTCTGTACGCGTCGCTGTCGTCCTTCCGGAAACAGAATTTCAACACTGAAGTGGAACAAATTTCTTGTGTGAATTAAAACGTTGGTAGAAATTGAAGCGAATGCTTTGCAAATGATGACCTCACTGCCACTTGCCCGAAATTCTCTAACAGTGGATGAAAGATGAAATTCAATAAGTTTCTGATTGTGATGGCCATGCAAAATATTTTAATTTGAGTTCTGAAGTATCTGAGAGAACACAATCATTTTCGGAAGAATCAATTAAGCCACGCCAAACAATCGGGTTTATAATCAGTCGGGTTTATATCTCTAACGCTGCGAACGTTAGAAGCTCCACGTGGACGCCTGAGGCAGCGAGCAGCCACGCGAACGCGCCGCCAGAGGTAGCCGGTCTGACCAGACAGGCAGACGTACGTACGTTAGCGAAGGTGATGTCACCAGCTGTGTTGCTGCTCTCACTCTTGTTGTTGCTGCAACTTATGCAAGCACATCCTTTGAATTACGCCTACCAGTCTGCAGCAAAGACGCTGGAAGTGGTTTGGTCCAGCGTCCGCCAATACATTGTCGACATACAAGTCATGCGAAGCAAACGTTCGCTTGAACCGACATACAAACGGGCCATATGAAAATAGCGCTCTCTTGCACCGACATACCCGCAGGCGTGAGTTTCTGTGTCAACATGTCTCTTCGTAGAGGTGAGAGAGTGTGGCTCGCGACACATGCAGCTCGTATTGACACAGCGTGTCTCGTGTTTTAAAGCTTGCGATGCCACAGGAAATGAATCGTCTGACAGGCGACCGCTCATCCTTCACTGCGTCAGCACGTCTCATCAGGTCGCGGAGACCAGCACTCAACAGCGTCTCATGGGATGACATAATCCTTTCCTCCACTAACGTAGCCTCCAATAATTCTGGTCTATCAAGTTTATCGTGAATTAGATCCACATAATTCATGTAACCCTTTAATAGGGTTAAATCTTCATCTTATCAATTCGAACCTTCTATAGCTTGCTAGTGTCGACGGTTCAATAGTTTCCTCCTTAATATCATTGATGGAACCTTCGGTTTAGTACTGTTCCGTCAACGAGTGTCCCAGAACCCCAATACAAGACGCATTCGGCAAAACAAACATAAATCCGTTGCTATTGAGCGAATATTTTTTATTTGAGCTTCGACGAGGGCGCTTGATACTGTGACTAGGACGCGTGAACTCGTGCCCAGGCCTCTGAGGAGTGTATGCGCATAACATGGATTCTTGCGTACAATTGACTACTAGTAGGCAGTAGTAGCTTGTACTCACCGATAGTAGCTGAGGTAATAGGCCTCGTAGTAGGCAGCGTAGTACTCAGAGAGAAGCTTGTTGTAGCCCTCCATCGTCTGCAGGTCCATTGCGCCATCTTCATCGCAGCCCCAAGAGTCCCTGCCGTAGCCCTCCTGCAGGAGGTGCAGAGGCTCCAGATGCACCAAGTTCAGGTCCTCTCCCGGCGCGTACGTGAACCGCCTACCATCTTCGTAGTTTCTGGAAAATAATTCGCTCGTTGGTTTTGCGAAAGTAATGTTCTGTGCAAATTTACATTCGTCAGATATTCATGGCAAAATTTGTCAATTGGTTGAGGTCGTCGGTGAAAGGAGCAGCGATGGGCGTCTTCAACAATCCAGTTTCGCGCGTAGTTTCATGAAATGTGATGCATCGAAGCACATGAGTTGGAAGCCATATCATCTATTATTTTATTAATAAAAGATGCCGAAAATTGTATTGTTAAGACATTACACAGCAATTTGATGGCAGGGAAAGTAAGTAAGGTACATTTAAAAAACGTTTTTACATCAAAAAACACAATTGGTAAGAAGATCTGATTCGTTCCGAATGAAAGAATAGATTTTAAAGCGTACGATTCTGAAGAAAAGAGTACCTCTAACATGAGTTAGACTTGTACAGGACATTTCGGGACAATTTTTGGCCATGCACCTCAGTCCCCTAATCTGTACCAAGTTGCAAACTTACAATAATTATGAGGGAATCACGCAATAATTTTATCACGATTTACTGTTGTTCGAATTTTGAAATGAAATATTGGGAAATAAGAGTATTAAAAGTAGCATATATAACGGTTATAAAGAGCAGGACGCTGTAAACAGCTCAACTGTCATCCAAAATTAAAGGTCATCTCGATAATCAGGTGCTCATGGGACGGTTCTTATTTAAGATGTACGCCCATTATCACTATTCCCCCCATTGCTTGCATTTTGGCATTTAGTATTAAATAATGTTCAACATCAACTCAAACCTTGTACATCTCTGTTGTTCGGCATACGCCTTGACCTAAGACTTTATTGTTAATAAACATGTGTTTACCGTTTCGCTATTCACCGCATCAGTACTCCGGCTCGATGTTCGCTGCTTTCCTAATTGTTTCCGTGATCACTGTAAATTTTTTTCTAATACAGCAAGATTTAAACACTTTTAGTTTCCAAGTAAGATCTAAGCATTTTTTAAATAAAGCGGTAAGGTAAAAAAAATAACTCAGTACTCACTGCAGTGAGTGACAGAGAGCGCATTTTCTCGTCGACGAAAACGTGAAGTCACGGACGAACAGACAGACGGACGGACGGCGAGCACACTAGTGCATTTTTTCCATAAATGAAAAAATACGCTAAAAATAAACAAAAAACTTTAATAAAGACTATAGACAAACTGTGACGAAAACGAAGCATCAAAACGACAAACTTCGGCGATTCACGCACGTCAGTCCAAGCGAGCAGCAGCCACCGCTCAGCCATTAATTTGTGACTGCAATCGATTTTTGATTAATGATTAATATAAGACTCTTCAATCGGATGCTTAGTTTATTATGAAGACTTCTTACTATCTAGGAAGTTAGGTCTAAATTCCTTATCATCTGTTTTTAATCCAAATAAACGCAATCAAATGTTATACTTTGCGTTCTCAAATTTAGACTTAACACAATTTCAAACAAGCCTTCCGGGAAAATAGTATTTGACTTAGTTTAGTCTTTCATGTCGGATTTTCTCTCCTTATTAAATCGCGTCACAAAGCAAATTGTTCTTAATATTATTAAAATACTATTTCTTGTTCTTACAAGAAATAATATCCTACATGGAACCCATTTCCTCTACTCGTGCTACAGTGAAGAATGTCGTATCATTTATTAATTTTAATGCATAATCAAGTCGATACTGGTTTATCCTTAATGAATCCATTTCCACAAATATATCATCTTATTAGTCGGTGGATCAAATCAAATTATGTATCACGTCTCAGTTTGTAATACGACTAGTAAAAATGTCTGTAAATTTTTATGAAGAAATTATATAAATATAACTTTTATCATTTGCAGGGCCGCCCAGAGCACAAAGTTTGAAAATGACTGGCATCTCAATCCGTAAAGAATAATTAAATGATTATTTAACGTATTATATTTTTTGTCACTTTTAAACTTTCATTGATTGTATAGCGAGTTGGCCAAAAATCAAATGTTCTTCGTCATTTTTGAATGCCGGAATTCTTAGCTGAGCCATCATGAAGGTGTACCGAGGGCAATTGTAGCTACGCTCATTCAGGCCTGCTGCAACTTGCGACGGAGAAGTAGGCCTATTGCTATGCTTAATTCGAAAGAGCGGCGACGATAAGAAATTGTGTTTTTACAAGAAGATAATTTGAAAAACTTGATGCAAGGAGAACAAGGAGCGATAAGATCTAATTGGCCAAAGAAAATCACGCACTTTTAACTCTTTCTCTCGTGACACGCTAAGAACTAAGTTGAAAGTATCCAAGAACGTGAGATGAGGCACTTAATACCTTGTGTTCTTCAAAAAGTGGAGAGCTTCTTAAAAATGCTACTTTTTGTCCTAAAAGAATAACCCCCCATAAAATTTTGTGCTCAGAGAAATTCCCGACCCAAGAACTTTAATCAAGAAATCGGTCCTGTTGGAGGGGACTGGACGTTTCGATCAGAAATAGGTCCTGTTGGAGGGGACTGGATGTTTCGATGTGAAGCTATAGAACACGCAGGCGACGATAACATGAGCTGCGGAGTTGATCTGTTGGACGTGGTCGTATCGAGAGGGGGTGTAGACATCGCTCTCTTGTATTTGCGCTCCAGTTCTTGCTGTTTCTGCTCCGCTACAACAATTTGTTCTAATTTCTCTTGGTGAATTCTGTTCTCTTCATGAAGGTACCTGAAATAAATTATTGTACTAAGTGATTTTATCATAGATATTATAATTGATGCAAAATTCCAAAATTTAGCGTGTCTTAATTCTAATATGTTTGTTATCTTTGCAATGGATCAATTTTTTAAGAAAAACTTCGGCAACTTCAAGTCTGCTATTTAGCCAGTATAAGACGTGTTTATACGCGCAAAATATTTCCGAAACAACTATAGAAGTGCGAATGCAGCTTTTACATTGTAATTTATTGTGAAATGAAAATAACTGATTAATTTGAAAATCAGAATTCTTCGATAGCGCATTAACCCAGGCAATTTGTAATTGATTTATTGCATTTAATGAATTTTAATCAAAAATCTTCGAAGACGATTGCCAAACCCACTGCCTCTGCCATATATGACACGCCACAATTTCGTTTACATAGGACCCCTCGTGAATGGTTGATGTAGGCCCTTGCGTCCAACAGGCCTCAACAAATGTTGAACTAAAACACAAATGTTCCAAAACCCTTCCACGCCAGACTTCCAATATCGCATAATCACTATTGTTCTCGAGCAGGGGCCATACTTTCAAAAATCGCTAAGTGAACGTAAGTACTTACGCTCAATTTTCACGTCCATGATTGGATTTTGCTTAAAAGGCCGTCAATGATTGGATGGTGAACTTACGATCTCTTACCTTTTTTTGAAAGTATAGGCCAAGCTCGTGCCCCAAGACCAGCTTACCGCGCCCACGGGGATCTGTTCAGCCACTCGTCGCTGGTGGCGTGCCTCATTCTCGCCCTGCCTGCCCCAGCCGGTAGCGGCGGTTTACTGGACACCTGAGGGAAGGTTGTGCAGGTTTTTAATTTGAGAGCATATTTCTGCATATTACAATATCAAACTTATTTTTAGCATGTCTAATATACAATTCTGAATATACCTGATAATTAAATTTCAGACGATGTTGCGTATTACAACTATAGCTCTTTCCCCACCTGCTGCAAGTCCCCCAAACTGGCCGACATGGAGTGCGTCCTCGACAGCCCGTCATTGTATCGTAGTCCAGATTCTGCCACCGGTCGTGCCACAAGCATCGTTGCCTTCGCTCCAGCCTGCGCTCCTGCAACAGCGGCACCTGACTCTGCTGATCCCCCGTTCTCAAGGTTGCTCATGGACTTCGACAGAACTGGATTCTCGATAGGCTTAAAGCCGAATTCCATTGGATCGGGGCTAAACTTTGTTACCGGCAGAGTTCTAGAATTACTTCTTCTTAAGTCACCTGTGCTTGAGCTTGCTCGACGTTCACTCTGAGACCGTTGGGGGATTTGGCTCAACTTGTCTCGATTTTGAGGCCGCGACCTAACCACAGGATTTTCTTGATTTTCAGACAGACGTGAATCGGAGTTCCTTCTGCGGTCCTTCTCTTTCTGCTTCCTGATTTGCCGTTCAAGATTACGTATGGATTTCTCTTGGGCTTCTAGCAGCTCTTCTTCACTTGTTGCTTTGAGTTCGTCGAACGGTTCTTCAGGATCGTGCGCATTGTTGTCGAAGACTTGATTAGAGGCCTCGCTGCTCTCGTCCCACTCGGACGCATAATCATCAGAATCTTCTACCTGAGCTCTGCGTTTTGTTTCGAGGTGTCGTCGGTATTCTTCATACTGTTCTGCCTCTTTCCTCATCTGCCTCTCTTCTTCTTGTTTCAATGTGTCGAGTTTTTCTTCAGGCGGTTGGGTAAGAGGCACATCTTCATAGATATGAGCTTCTTCGAGGTTACTGCAACTTTGTCTCCTGATTGTTTCATTCACCTGACGTGCTGATCTAACGTGCTGCTCTTGAAGTGAACGCTGCATTTCGATTCTCTTCTTTTCGAATTTTCTCAATTTGAGCCGTTCGTAGGATTCAGTAATAGACTTTATGTTCTTTTTAGGTTGATCGTTATCCCTGTTTAATCTAGTTTCATCCTTCTTTTCGTAGCTGGGTCCATCCTTTGAACTGATAGCTTTTAGATAATTTTCTTTCTCGCGAGCAATTTTCATTTGAACATCAGCCTGTCGAGATGTTTCTTCCTTTATTGTCCGTTCGTACTTAATTCTTTCTTCGACTTCTTTCTTTTGAGCTAACAGTTTCTGTTCTTCTTCGTATATCAACTTTGCCAGAACTTTTTTTTCTTCGAGTTTTCTTAAGTTTTCCTCGTCGGTGTCTTGTTTGTCCTGTGCTTTTTCTACCTTTTGTTTTTCTTGTTGAGATTTTGCCTTTTTCTTTTCCATTTCTTGCTGAATTAGCAACTGGTCCTTCTTAAATTGCTCTTGTATTTTCCTCAAATCGTTCTTTCGTTTTGATTCTTTTGATTTCGCCCTGTCAGTTTCACATGGTTCTATTTTCCCTATCATGCTCTCATTATTAGCTACTCTGGACGTGGTCGATTTCATGGTGCTAGTTTTTCCATCGAGTGAATCAGTAATTTCTTTCGCGGATTCCGGTAAGACCCCTGTTGCAATGACTTGCCCAGGCTTGATCTCAGTCTTTACTTTTCGTAATTGCGAGCCTTTTATATTTTCATCGAAATTGACTTCGCAAGCACTCTTCGGGGCTGTTTTATTTTGCTTCTGATCAAAGTTGTGTTCCTGCATTTTTCGGATCAGCTCGTCTCGTATTCGATTTGCTTCACGCAGTTGTTCTTTTTCGTCTACACAACGAGTCAATGCAAAATTTTTCTGGAATTCAGCTATCTTCTCGCGTGCAGTCTTTTTAAGCCTCTCGAGGATTTTGTTTGCTTCTTCTTGATGACTAGCAGCCTTTGCTATCGGTATTGCAGTTTGGCTTGCTGGAACTTGATTTTGTGGGATTTCTGTCTTAATTGACATGTTTCCAGTGTCTTTTGTCGCCAATTGGTCTGATACAGCATTTTTTGTGCGTTGCAGTTCCTGCTGTACCAATTTTACTGCAGTTAACAAAGTCGATGACGCTTCTTTTTTGAGGGTTGCAGGTGCAATTTCCAAGTTTGGATTTGAAATAGTTGCTTTTGATGATTTGATTTTCGACGTTGCGTCTCTCCGCATAGGTACGTGTCCTGCAGTGGCTGCGGGGGAGCTGTTCAACATCCTTTCGGCTTTAATCCCCTCTCTGCGTTTCGCGATCATCATCTTTTCTTCCAACCTCAATTTCTCCTGAATCATTAGTTGAAGCTGTCTCCGTTGCGCATCGCTCTTTTGTTCAACAAATAGGATTTCTTGATCGGTATCTCTTTCATCTCTGCTAGGAAAAGGAGGGGAAAGAGCTGTTGTTGGGACCAACGCCGTGCTTGTCTGGCTCGACGAAAGGACTTGGCCTTGAGCAGAACAAAACGAAGGACTAGAATTTTCAACAGCTGGAGGAAGTGAGCGTGCGAAAAATCTGTCGCTGCTCACCTTAGGATTGTTTGTGGGGAACTTTGGACACTGGGGAGGTGGGGACGTTATTGGAGTAGATGGTTCATGATTAGGGGCTACTTGAACAATGGTCGGTGACATCGTGTTATGCGGAGAGCCAATCCCTAATGGCACAATTGGAGATGAGACGTTGATTGGAGTAGATCTGTTTGAAGGAGACGTGACGTTTTTCATAACAGGAGACAAAATTAGGGAGCACTCTTCATCATGCGCAATCGTCCGAGAAGAAGTGTTTCCTGCCTGACATTTAAGGCTAGGTGATGAAACGCTAACATGATAGGCTGCGTTTGGAGGGGACGTGATTCCAGCAGTATCGTAGGTAGCCCATGGAGGTGAAATAAGTCCCGTTGGAGGGGACTGGACGTTTCGATTAGAAATCGGTCCTGTTGGAGGGGACTGGATGTTTCGATTAGAAATCGGTCCTGTTGGAGGGGACTGGACGTTTCGATTAGAAATCGGTCCTGTTGGAGGGGACTGGACGTTTCGATCAGAAATCGGTCCTGTTGGAGGGGACTGGACGTTTCGATCAGAAATAGGTCCTGTTGGAGGGGACTGGATGTTTCGATGTGAAGCTATAGAACACGCAGGCGACGATAACATGAGCTGCGGAGTTGATCTGTTGGACGTGGTCGTATCGAGAGGGGGTGTAGACATCGCTCTCTTGTATTTGCGCTCCAGTTCTTGCTGTTTCTGCTCCGCTACAACAATTTGTTCTAATTTCTCTTGGTGAATTCTGTTCTCTTCATGAAGGTACCTGAAATAAATTATTGTACTAAGTGATTTTATCATAGATATTATAATTGATGCAAAATTCCAAAATTTAGCGTGTCTTAATTCTAATATGTTTGTTATCTTTGCAATGGATCAATTTTTTAAGAAAAACTTCGGCAACTTCAAGTCTGCTATTTAGCCAGTATAAGACGTGTTTATACGCGCAAAATATTTCCGAAACAACTATAGAAGTGCGAATGCAGCTTTTACATTGTAATTTATTGTGAAATGAAAATAACTGATTAATTTGAAAATCAGAATTCTTCGATAGCGCATTAACCCAGGCAATTTGTAATTGATTTATTGCATTTAATGAATTTTAATCAAAAATCTTCGAAGACGATTGCCAAACCCACTGCCTCTGCCATATATGACACGCCACAATTTCGTTTACATAGGACCCCTCGTGAATGGTTGATGTAGGCCCTTGCGTCCAACAGGCCTCAACAAATGTTGAACTAAAACACAAATGTTCCAAAACCCTTCCACGCCAGACTTCCAATATCGCATAATCACTATTGTTCTCGAGCAGGGGCCATACTTTCAAAAATCGCTAAGTGAACGTAAGTACTTACGCTCAATTTTCACGTCCATGATTGGATTTTGCTTAAAAGGCCGTCAATGATTGGTTCATGAACATACGATCTCTTTACTTTGTTTGAATGTATAGTCCCAGGACTCACTGTATGGAGGAGGCCTTGCATACGATCTCTTTACTTTGTTTGAAAGTGTAGGCCCAGGACTCACTGTATGGAGGAGGCCTTGCATACGATCTCTTTACTTTGTTTGAAAGTATAGGCCCAGGACTCACTGTATGGAGGAGGCCTTGCGGACCGTCATTGACAGCTTCTTGCAGGAATGCTTGACGAGGTCACAGGCGTCGAAGTGACACAGCGTCTTAGCGTCCTCGCCCTCCAGCAGGATGATAGCGTCGCCGACGCTCAGGTGCTGCGCTGCTATCGAGCCTGCGGTTACCTGCACTTTGGAGGTGGGGCAAGATATGTGATGCGTGAGAAATGTGATGCGTGAGAAATGTGATGCGTGTGAAATGTGATGCGTGAGAAATGTGATGCGTGTGAAATGTGACGCGTGAGAAATGTGATGCATGGGCACAGTGATGCATGAGCAATGTGATGCCTGATGCTCATGAACGAAGAAAATGATCATTAATTCCTGTCGTTCTCTTATTTCACAATCTTCGTCACAATTAATGACCGCTAGACATAATTTTCATGAAGACTGCAGTAAAAGAAATACGAACGGATTAAATAATCATTGCTTTTTATTGTAAGAGCCTTCTTATTCTTCTATTTTTAAACAACCAAGTATAATTCTGAACTTTGAGAAAAACACGTATATATGAAAAACTTTATGGCTGAATTAGATAAGGTTATTTTTGGAAGATAATACAGTACTTTATGCGCACTGTACAACCCTGTTTATGTTTTGACTGAGCGACCTAGTTAACTAATCTCGAGTATTTATGAAAATTGTTGTTCGTTTTTTAATTGCTGGCAGAAACTTGAAAGAATCTAATTGTTCAGCTTTTATGAGAAAGAATTTCCAGTTGGTTTCATCTTCATGGATTAGACTCCAATCGTAAATTCCTAACTTATATTTACATTAATGTTAATGAATATTACATTAAATAATAATAATTAATTAAATATTACATTATTTCATGGTGCAAACTCCAATGGGAATTTCCTAACTGATATTTACATTAATGTCAATTAATATTACATTAATTAATAATAATTAAACATATATTACATTAATATTATTGTCAATAGTATCACATTATTAATATCACATTAATGTAAATGAATATAAGACATTTTGCCAGCCCATGACACAGAATGAGTCATCACATTATTGATATTACATTAATTAATAATAATTAATTAAATATTACATTAATATTAATGTCAATTAATATCACATTAATAATATTACATTAATGTCAATGAATATAAGACATTTAGCCAGCCCATGACACAGCATGAGTCACACTTCAGACCGCAGCTCAACATAAAGACCACAGGACAGTTGGCACCGACACCTCTGCCCTCCGTGGCCCTGCTTGGCATTGCCTGCGTGCCGCATAACAGCGTGAAGTATATAGTAGCGTGACACGCTAGAGTGATGTGAAGTATATAGGACAGTAGCGTGACACGCTAGAGTGATGTGAAGTTTATAGGGCATGATGTGAAGTATATAGGGCAGCAGCGTGACACGCTAGAGTGAAGAGTGATGTGAAGTATATAGGGCAGTAGCGTGACACGCTAGAGTGAAGAGTGATGTGAAGTATATAGGGCAGTAGCGTGACACGCTAGAGTGATGTGAAGTATATAGGGCAGTAGCGTGACACGCTAGAGTGATGTGAAGTATATAGGGCAGTAGCGTGACACGCTAGAGTGATGTGAAGTATATAGGGCAGTAGCGTGACCAACTACACGCTAGAGAGATGTGAAGTATATAGTATATGAAGTATATATAAGTAGACGCACACAATAGAATAAAAATTTGAAACATTTAGATTGACGAATTTAGAATAACAACCCAAGTCTAATTTATTTCATTTAAAAATATTTGCTTTAGTTTTAAGAGTAGTTCTAGCAAGCAAATGCAAATACCAGAATATTGTCAGAATATTGGCAAATACCAGAATATACGCCTGAAGCATTTGTGTGCATATGGCTTAGATGCCAATGGAATTGTTAGCTTGTTTTGCATCTTAAAATTATTGTACAGAAAAATTTTGTGAAGAAGAATTAACAATAACAAGCCTTAGATAAATTTATTCATTAAAAACTGTACGTTATGGGACATGGGACATGGGACATAAGACATGGGACACGGGACATGGGACATGAGAGGTGTGAGCAGCATCAGAACAGAAGGTCAGAAGAACAAGTTTTTTAAGGCACACCGAGACAGAAGAAATAGTTATTAATGCATATTTAGCATCATAGATGCACCTACCCTCTGCACGATGAGGGGACTCTTGTAGTCCGCGCCTCCAGACAGCCGGAAGCCCCAGGGGGTGGCCTCGGAGGAGCGAGTGAGCGTGAGGGGCGTGAGTGTGGCCATATGTACTGAACCCTCTCTATCAGGTGATGGTAGTACCTATCAGGTGATGGTAGCTATAATACTCAGAAGAATAACTCGCTGTTATTATGCTCAATTGTTCGACTCTTCAACGGGAATATCAACTGTTCGACTGTTCCGGAAATCAACGTTCGACTCTTCAACGGAAATATCNGTAGCGTGACACGCTAGAGTGATGTGAAGTATATAGGGCAGTAGCGTGATACGCTAGAGTGATGTGAAGTATATAGGGCAGTAGCGTGACAAATACACGCTAGAGTGATGCGCGGTCTAGTTCTGGACATTTGCTTCTATAGAGCTACACGAATTAGGGAGACACACACAGTATAATAAAAATTGAAAACATTTAGATAGACGAATTTATAATAACAATCTCAGTACAATTTATTTCATTTAAAAATTGGTTTTTAGTCATACGAGTTGTTCTAGCAACCAAAGGCAAATGCCAGAATATTGTCAATATAGGCCTGAAGCATTTGTGTGCATATGGCTTAGATGCCAATGGAATTGTTAGCTTGTTTTGCATCTTAAAATTATTGTACAGAAAAATTTAGTGAAGAAGAATTAACAATAACAACTTTAAATACATTTATTTACTGAAAACTGCACGTTAAGGTCGGAAAAACAAGTTTTTAAGGCAGACCGAGACAGAAGAATTAGTTAGCATTGCATATTTAGTGTCATAGATGCACCTACCCTCTGCACGATGAGGGGACTCTTGTAGTCCGCGCCTCCAGACAGCCGGAAGCCCCAGGGGGTGGCCTCGGAGGAGCGAGTGAGCGTGAGGGGCGTGAGTGTGGCCATATGTACTGAACCCTCTCTATCAGGTGATGGTAGTACCTATCAGGTGATGGTAGTACCTATCAGGTGATGGTAGTACCTATCAGGTGATGGTAGTACCTATCAGGTGATGGTAGTACCAACCCTATCAGGGGATGGTAGTACCTATCAGGTGATGGTAGGACCTATCAGGTGATGGTAGTACCAACCCTATCAGGTGATGGTGAGTACAAGCATCACCTACATCTATCAGGTGATGGTAGTACCTATCAGGTGATGGTAGCTATAATACTCAGAAGAATAACTCGCTGTTATTATGCTCAATTGTTCGACTCTTCAACGGGAATATCAACTGTTCGACTGTTCCGGAAATCAACGTTCGACTCTTCAACGGAAATATCAACTGTTCGACTGTTCCGGAAATCAACGTTCGACTGTTCAACGGAAATATTAGCTTATTGTGTCAGCGATCACAGACATTATATTAACTCATATCATCAACTGGCAGCCGAGATATTATAGTTATTAAGTTACATTCTACGAGTATTATAGTTCATGGTGAGGATGACATTACCTTCTGATAATATCAGAAAATCAGAAAATTATGACAATTGTCTTAGGTAAACAAGGCCGCGAGGTCAGAAGGTGGAGCGTAACACATCAGGAGATGTTGTCTTTGATTCCAAGGGTAATAGCAGGAGCTATTTCAGGACTTAGATGCAAAATCAAACGGAGAACATGTCGATCATGAAATGATAAGCTGAATGACCCCAACTTATAAGTTGCTTACCAAATTCTTTAAAATAAAAAATTTCGATAGGGAGTGGTATTTTCTCGAGAAAAATTTGTTTAACTTGGTAGGCTCAAAGCACCGATGTCAAGGGAAGGAGGAGAGATACCGTGCGTCAAAGAAAGGGTACTCCTGATGGATTAGTGAAATATATGCAGTGGCTGCTAACTAACTAAAGAGCACTGGTCGAGATAACGATTAGTGGCTGTTAAGTTACTGAAGACCACTGGTCGAGATAACGATTAGTGGCTGTTAAGTTATACTGAAGAGCATTGGTTGAGATAACGATTAGTAGCTGCTAAATTACTGAAGACCACTGGTCGAGATAACGATTAGTAGCTGCTAAATTACTTAAGACCACTGGTCGAGATAACGATTAGTGGCTACGCTGCTAAGTTATTGGATTCACTGGTCACAATAACGTTTGGTGTTGTCCGTTATATCTACAAGGCAGTTAACTAGGATGTTGTAAGAATTAGGGTGAACGTTCCCAGTATGTGATGTGAAGTTTATACTGGGTGAACATACATGATCACTGAGGAAAAAAAGAATGCACTACCATTGGTTTCATCAGATACACAATAGAGCATTGCATAAATTTTGGAGAAGAAAGAAATTTTGTGTCAGGCTTAGTTTGGAGTGTGAAAAGTTTAGTTCGTTGAGAAATTTTAGAAGTGCAATAAAACGAGGCGTGTTTATGTTCTTCAGATAAACGCTCTTACGCTGTTGCAACGTTTTCCTTAGCATTGATCACTCGTTGTTCGGCATTAAATGTGAGTTGCATTTTCTACTTGATGTATCCGGTTTAAGGGAAAGTTTAAATTTACGTTACAGTTTACACTTTCTGGTCTAACCTTGAGCACTGTGATGATGACATCACACCTAATTTATCGATTTCAAGTATACAATTTGATGAAAAACCCCAAATTTTTTCCGATTGATTTCTCTCCTGGTGGGCCGATCACCAAAATATTGTTATCACATTATGCTTCTCAGTTCATTTATTCCTTATTCTTATGGTAATTTATGCCACCTCCAATTATTGGCCATTCTGAGGCTATGTCATTTAAAAGAATTATCGTTCAAAAATATGTTTGAGCACAACAAAGAGACTCTCTGAGTGGCCTCTTCCTCAGTTCAATGTAAAGATTCACGGGTGAACATTTACAATATCTTCACAGTCATCCTTATATCTACAGAACCTGTTGAATGAATAATTGAAGTCAGTGATAAGACATTGAATACAAGATTTATATTCATATGCTACTCACAACTGGAAGTTTTAGACCTGTAGTTTTTCGAGATTTATTCCGTTAAATTAATGAAAGTCACGCATAAATGAACTAAAGGAGGAATTTTTTTTTAAATTATATTTGAGTCACATTGGAAAAGACAAGACTGCCAGCTGCTTTCCCCAACTGATGGCTGACCTCAAACAAGTCCGATTTGCGTAGGTGTCACTTCTGTGCAACAACATTAATGTTCCGTATTTCACATAATAGCTTTGATTGGGGAGGGTTATATTGCAGGCGGTAGCGTTAGCCAAAGCGTTAAGATGGCCTAAGCGTCATCACAGTGATGGAGGCGGCCGAGCTCAGTGGTCCAGCAGGTATAAAGGTTATTACGAAGAGAGATTACTACGATTATTATTACGATTGTTTACGAAAGATTATGACGTATTTATTACCTATTTTACGTATTTATTACGTATTACGTATTATTATTTATTACGATTGTTTACGAAAGATTACGAAAGATTATTACGAGTACTACGGGGATTGTTGAAACACTTTTATAATTGGCATTAAAACTTTAGCTAAACACGTAGTGACAGTTACACATAGTGTGACTGATCTACGTGTTTCCTTAGGAATATCTCAACACGTAGCCCAGATATGCCACAAAAGCCTTCACAATTAGAGAACGTTAAGGTCACAGAGTTATACTTTCAAAATTCGCTAAGTAAACGTAAGTATTTACGCTCTATTTTCTTGTCTATGATTGGTGCATTTTGCTTGAAAGGCCGTCAATGATTGGCTGATGAACTTAGGATCTCTTAACTTTTTTTGAAAGTATAGGCCCAAGGGGTCTATTCCTGTGTTCGCAATTACAGAAGCAACATTGCATGCATGCTAATTAATGTATATATGCGAACTAATGTTTATAAAATCCATCACTGCTCATACCAACCATCCCTGCTCATACCAACCATACCTGCTCATACCAACCATACCTGCTCATACTAACCATACCTGCTCATACTAACCATACCTACTCATACTAACCATACCTGCTCATACTAACCATCCCTGCTCATACTAACCATCCCTGCTCATACTAACCATCCCTGCTCATACTAACCATCCCTGCTCATACTAACCATCCCTGCTCATACTAACCATCCCTGCTCATACTAACCATCCCTGCTCATACTAACCATCCCTGCTCATACTAACCATCCCTGCTCATACTAACCATCCCTGCTCATACTAACCATCCCTGCTCATACTAACCATCCCTGCTCATACTAACCATCCCTGCTCATACTAACCATCCCTGCTCATACTAACCATCCCTGCTCATACTAACCATCCCTGCTCATACTAACCATACCTGCCCATTCAGACCGCCAGGAGTGTTGGACAAGAGAGCACAGCAAGCATTTATAAGCGTGTAATGCATATTAGTGAAATTTAGTCAGGCGTCGGCCTATACTTTGATCATTGAAGTTGCATCTAATCGCTTGAGGTTACCTAACATTTACATTGCTGTTTCCAATCGTCATTCTGACCTTCGGATCGAAGAGTTTTTGAACCACGTAATATCTTTAGCACGTCGGAATTGCTTACTGTATTTCAGGAATCATAATTAGCAGTACAAAGACATCCATAAATAAATATCGAATTTTATGTTCTTGCGTTAAAATTTCAGAAAAAATAATTATGACTGACAGATAAGGCGCAGTCACCATCACCGCCTGCACACAATAATGACACTGACAAGACGCCGTCACCATCATTGCCAGCACACAATGATGACATTGACAAGACGCAGTCACCATCACTGCCTGCACACAATGATGACAACTGCGTGGTGTGGTGTTATAACGCGGCCCTGACATGTGCTACTTCCGACGGACTGCGTGGTGTGGTGTTATAACGCGGCCCTGACATGTGCTACTTCCAACGGACTCGTATTGCACACGGCTGATCAAAGTTGGCTGTCTCGTCCTCTATATGATACGGATCTCTTCTTACATGCTCTGCAAAACAAAAAGTCGGCTTATTTCTTGCACATTTAACAGGGAGTTTCGATTTATTTGGTGGTGCAAATCGTACGTGTAACGAATTACAAATCATTTTCGAGGTTACCGTATAAAAACATATCCCATGCTGGAACGACCAATGCCAATGCGTGAGGCCAGTCGAAGAAGATAAAGATTTTTGATCTGGAATGGATGATTGTTTCCTTCATTTCAGATTTCAAAGCGTGTGGTTAACTTAACTATCTGTGAAACCGAAGATTTACAGCTCAAAAATTTAAATTTGAAA